ACTAGTAAAACATAGTTCCAATCTTCGTAAAAGTTTAGAAATCCTAAATTCTAACTTAAATTCATAGCCCCAACGTCTAGCAAAATTCACTAATCATCAAGGAATGCAAATGATTTATTACAAAATTGCAATATAAAAAGTAAATGATCAAGGATGCTCTTATACACGAATCATTTATATACCCCAAACATGTAGTTAAAAATCACAATTTCATAATAGCCTAACATATAATTAATTATTTATCCTACTCAACTTATCTAAGACTTAAGTTATTAGCTTCCCTTAACAATATTTTTATTAAAAAATTTCTAAGTTAACTTATATAAATAATAAGTCAAGGATTCTCATTTCTACATCAAATCTTCTTAACTATAATCAAAAAATTTCATGAATTATATTGACAATATCAAAATTAATTTTACAACTTACAATATGTCAAACTAACTATTTTCCTAGCAAAATTTAAATCTTACTACCTCACATATTCCAATTATGTCATTTCCCATGCCTTTCGAAAACAAATTAGATCCATCTTTAATCACACCATCATAGTAAATCCCATTGCCCAAATTGAATTTTTTCTAACTCATTCCAACTAACAACCATTAAAGGCTCACATTTCTGACTTTTCCACCATGCATAATTTAAAAAAGATTTAGTTGCATTTGTTAATTCCCAAATATTCAAAAATTATACAATGACTTAAAATGCCATAGCGCCTTTTACTAAATCATTAATCTAGGGTTATATCTTAGCCATAAACTTTAACATTTCCTTAATTAATTTAAGTCTCAATAATTCTTTCAAACCATTTTAGTAAAACAAATTCAACTAAGCTCGATTATTAATAAGGCTCAATAATCTTTTCAAACCATAGTAACAAATCAACTAAGCTCGATTAAGTTTGATAAGTTAACAATTTACAATTTGCTATATCTTGTTAGAGACTTAAACCTCGAATAACAATTAGTTCAATGAAAACTTACTCACATTATCTACTAATTCAAACCTGAATTTTATATTACCAAATTAAATTTAAGATCGACTTACCAGCTACATTATTAAAATTTCAATAGTCAAAGATCAAGTTCAAATCCTAAAGAGAAATAAACCATAAAATTTCAATTAATTTGGAATAAGGGTTCTATTACTTACCAAATGATGATTGGCATATACCATTGCAGTCTACATGAGGAGCTAAGGATTCTGTCTCTCGGGGCCTCGCTGGCCGGTCACCGGAGCGTCGACAGCACTGCCATCTACGGTGGCCGAAAAATCCCAAACGACCCAGAATTAAGCAACCCGCACCCCAAAATGCTCGAATCATTTATAGAAGCCGAATATGGTGTCGTCTTGAGGAGGTAGTGGCTCGTTTGGCCGGATCAACTACCACAGCCATCTCCACGCTGCCGCTCGTGGTGGTTTCCTTTCCCTCCACCAAATCTGTCGATTCTTAGATGGAAAATGTTCACTTGGAGGAGTTGAGTCGATCGAGACTCACTTGGAAGCTTCACGTCGCCGGAGTCGCCTGGTATCACCGGAGATCAAAGAACGAGAACTATCGATGGATATAGTCTTGATTTGCTCCACTAGAGGCTCTGCTCGAGTGGAAGGAAGTTGGAAAAGGGGCCAGCGGCTCTAGGGGAGTCAATCGCCACCTCGCTCTCATTGAGCGGTGGCCTGAAACGGGAAGGGAGGAACGGGGCGCACTGGAGTCGAGGAAAGAAGAAGAGAAAGGGAAAAAAAAGAAGGCTAGTTTATAGACTATTCCGATTCGATTCGAACTGGTTTGGTCCAATTCAGTGATTTGACTCGGTTTTTGCTTGGTTTACGGGTTTTTCACTTGGTTTTCGAAAAATGCAAACTGGTTAACTGGTCTGCTTTAGCAATAATAAATATTTTTTTGCTAAATTTCATTGGTTACTCTTACGGGCTGTGGCTTTACGCGGTTTACGGCTTTTTTTACACTGTGCGTTTTTTCGAAAAATGCAAACTGGGTTAACTGCGTCTGCTTTAAGCCCCAATAATAAATATTTTTTTTGCTAACATTTCCATTTGCCACCGTTAAAAAATTACAATTAAAATTTTTTAAATTGCAAAATTTTTTTGAAAAAAGATTGTTAGGGGGTCGTTTTGTTTTCAATGAATTCATAGTATTTTGACAGTATATAATACAATTCGAGTAAAAGCCACGCGTTTTGTACCAGTTTCGTGCAAGCCCAGTGCCCGAAATGCGCATTGATGGAAAAAGTGGAGAAAGCAGCATCGCAAAGTTTTAGCACTTTCAACTCAATGAACACCCTACGGGTTTTTCACTTGGTTTTCGAAAAATGCAAACTGGTTAACTGGTCTGCTTTAGCAATAATAAATATTTTTTTGCTAAATTTCATTGGTTAAAAATTTACAATTAAATTTTTAAATGCAAAATTTTTTGAAAAAGATTTTTTGGGTCGTTTCAATGAATTCATATTTTGACAGGTATATACATTCGAGAAGCACGTTGTACCAGTTTGTTGAGCAGTGCGAAATGGCATTGATGGAAAAAGTGGAGAAAGAGACGAAAGTAGACTTCAACTCAATGAACACCAATCTTCATGTGTTCAGTGACTATACTATAGAGAAATAATTCTAGGAGGTTCACACGCATGGAAACTATGCGAAGGTTCGAAAGGAATTTTGGAAATGATATATTGTAGTCTGTCTCATGTGTAATCAAGGTTTAAGGTGCATAAGTGGGAAGTTGATTGCAAGGTGTATATAAAAGATGTTGGCTACTGGAAGTGAGTATGTTATGAAGTTACCTATGCAGCGCCACTATTGATATCCACTGTAGTTGCATGTTGTTTGAGTGTAAGGGCATATTATGTGCACACTCCCTATATGTTCTTGCTAAGAATGATGTGGAGGTACTAGCCACTAAGTATATATTGAACAGATCGAGAAAGGACTTCAAGCGATCTCACAAAAAAATTAAGTCCCATATTGGAGGCATTCACTACTCTAAAGAAGCTAAAAGGGTGAAGACTCTTGAAGATTTGTTTAATGTTGCAGTCGATATGGCGTGTGGAAAAGATGAGATGTATTTGTTCACTTTCAATTTAATAAGGAGTGTCATGAGGAAGTTAGAGAAGTGAGACAGCGGAGAAAGTTCTGGTGCTATGAACATTCTACAAAGCGGCGAAGAAATTGCACCTGAAGCAACATATTGTGGAGGTGTGACTAAGAATGACACTGTTGTTTATAGCAATCCCAACACTTCAAAACGCTAAGGCCGGCCCAAAACCCAATGATGGAATGTAAGAAGAAAAGAAAGAAGAGCAGGTGGAATTCTCCCAGAAAGGAATCGTGCAATAACAACATAGTTCCATCTCGAAGGTGTAGCAACATTGCCATTGACCAAGTAAGCTTCGTCTTTAGATGCATTGATTCATATAATATTGTCAATATAAAACTAGCATGTGGTGTATACAACTGTATCATGTTTTTAATAATTTAATCTACTACAGTAAATGATGTTTGTTTCGATAATGTTATGTTTTGTTGTCTTATTGTTAATTGTGTTAGATTGTTGGATAATTTTATTACTTTTTTTGCTATTATTACTAATTACAGTTGACTCACATGGTCTTTTAATGTGCGGCAGCATAATGATATAAAAACTGAGGTGGAAACGAATTTGTCTCACCTTGTCAAAAATCGGGGAGCTGATATACAGAGTGGAGAACAAATACCCCAGACACTAGTGGCAGGCTCATAAAGTATTGGCATGGTTGCCTACTTTATATGATGAGCGGTGGTGGTGTATGACTGATTATTACAAACTTGTCAACAATGACTATTATGAGGACTCAAATTTTTTTGTATTAACTTGAGGCCACAATTTACTGGCATTTGTGCATGGTATCATGAACCATACTTTAGGCTTTGTATTATAGGACAGTGTACTCGACATTCATGTATTAATGTAATTTGCCACTTCAATCTAATATATTAATGATGTACTTAGTTCCTTGACTAGTAGAATTCGTTTTCTGTTCATGTTATTCTTGTCCACCATCATAAGTTCTTAATTGTTAAGTTTTTGTATGTCATCGTGGTTGTTTTATTTACTTGCAGTTACTTAATTGGATGTTCGTTAATTATACTTGGTTGTTTTGTCCGTGACGCATTTCATTAGTCTGATTTTCCTTCGAATTTCTTATAACTCCATCTCCACAATTCTCATACCACTAAAGAGACAGATTCCATATCATGGTACTATATGTATCTCAGTAGCTATGAAAGAGCTATCAATGGCTTATTCCACTATATGGAGTTGGACCTGTATTTTGGAAGCCCTTTAATTTTATACAAAAGTATTGTGTAGGGGGGAAGCAACATGGCGGGCAACTAAACTATGTTTTCAATAAATCGTGAAAATCAAATGGGTCGATCACTTTATGATTAAATTTGAAATTATACATAAAAGACAAAATAAACTGGGCTTCATTAATGAAATGATAGTAGCCCATAAATTAAACAATTACATGGGTATAATTTTGTCTAATGGTTTTCCATTGAAGACCTGTCTAGTAAAAAATGTTTGAAAATACATGCGAGTTGGCCCAAATATTACGTGGCTGTTAGGATAAGCTAGTTGTTAGGCCTTAGTGTCTAGTGTCTTACAGTTTCAATATTGGGCCTATAGTGCACTGCTAATACTAAATTTATGTTAAGTTTCATTTGAAGAAACCATTTGATATTTGCAAGTATTTTTGGGCCAACCATATTATAAACTTTGTAAGTAGACAAAGTATACTGTTTGTTTGGTCTAACTACTTGTCACGACCCGTTTCCAAGGGTCGGACCGGCACTAGGACCTGAGTGGATTTAAGGTCTCCCAGACCCGTAGTAAGCCTATGTTAGTTAAACTCATAATCTATTCATGGTCATGGCTTTAGGCCCATTAACTATATTCCACAGACGTATCAAAATACAGTTCACATAATAAATATATAAATACCCATATTATTCAATTACAACCCATTTAGAATACAATTGCGAAACTCTATAAATTACAGTCCTTTTCATTTACATGCTTAATACAGCTATTAGTAATTTTAATATATTTGTATTTCGACTCGGTCGGGTATATAGGGCTCTTCTTTCCTCCTATTACCTGAAAAAAAAAAGTGGCAGGAGTGAGCGCTAAACTCAGTGAGTAGGGTTAGATAACCCTCTCATCCCACACAATCAGACAAATGCATAAATAAGTCAATTTAGTCATTCGACTAGTTATATGATCATGTAGTTTATCACAAAAATGATAAGACAACAGCAATCACAAATATTAACACCTTCTCATAATCACATCACGTGAAAATTGGTCAGTAGCATCACCAAAACTCCCGACGAGCCGTCCTCACACATGGCCTGCCCTCTCATCACGTGTGCACCAGAGAGCCGATCCCCAATACATGGCTGACCGGTCTCAACCTCACTTGACCAGCCCTCTCATTTTTTTATACTCTCTTTTCTTTTCCATATCAACAGGTGGTCACCCTGTAGTTTTCCATATCATATTTCATCATATGCACATGGGGGTGCCGATCTCCCCATACATGGCTGACGATATCATAGACCGCCCTCACAAACCCAACGGTGATCCAATTCATCCCAATTCCACACAAGCAAGGCATCCATAAAGCACATTACAACTAATCAAACTATATTCAATAGCAACAATTAATGCAACACAAATTAACAAATTACTAAATAATGCATGTCTAGCATTTAGCCGTGTATGCATGGATGTAAATGCAGGTGGATAATGTGAATTATCTAACACTACTTACAGTTTCTCATTGTTCTTAAAAGGGCTATCTTTATTACTGCACTCTTCCAGCATTGTCTTAACATTTTGGAACTTTATAAACATCTTAAAAAAAAAAAAAAATTCTAAATAAGAGTTCTAATTTGAGAAATGTATTTCACATTCATTTATTAATTTTTTGGTTACTAGTCGCTTATCTAACTTATTGAACTAACTAACTAACTATATATATATATATATACACACACGTTGTTCCTTTATTTATTTATTTACTCTAATTTATAACTTTTAACAAAGCTTCTAGTTAGTTGGTAAGTAATGTTTGATAATAATAATAATAATAATAATTCAACATTTTGCGAACTTTATAAACATCTATAAAAAAAAAAAAATTCTAAATAAGAGTTCTAATTTGAGAAATGCTATTTCACATTCATTTATTAATTTTTTGGTTACTAGTCGCTTATACCTAACTTATTGAAACTAAACTAAACTAACTATATATATATATATATACCACACGTTTGTTCCTTTATTTAATTTTATTTAACTCTAATTTATAACTTTTAACAAAGCATTCTAGTTAGTTGGAAGTAATGTTTGATAATTAATCAATAATAATAATAATGGACAAATATTAGTAATACTAAAAGTTTTAATTCGTTACCACCTATTAATGATATAAACTAATTGTAGTTCTTTAATTAAGTGTTGCCGAAAATCCGGCAATATTTTCTCTGCTAAACTAGAACTATTCCCAATTTATAGATCACACACATTAACAACACAGCGCCCATTCATCAAGCAAATTCCTTAATTCAAAGCCCATCCTCCGCTATATCATTCATTTAGAATAATTGCTTAAAATAGGCCGAAATAAATTCAAATTAATTTGCTAAAGGAAAAAATGTTAGAAATAATAATAATGGAAATAGTAATACTAAAAGTTTTAATCGTTACCACCTATTAATGATATAACTAATTTAGTTCTTTAATAAGTGTTTTGCCGAAAATCCGGCAATATTTTCTCTGTAAACTAGACTATCCCAATTTTATAGATCACACACATTAACACACAGCCCATTCATCAAGCAAATTCTTAATCAAAGCCCATCCTCCGCTATATCATCATTAGAATAATTGTAAAATAGGGAAATAAATTCAAATTAATTTCTAAAGGAAAAATGTAGAATTGAGTTATAAGGTTTACCAATGAAAAATTGGATTAAATATTTGACATCAACATGAAGAGGAGAAGATTCTGCCTCTGGAGCCTTGCCGGAGCATCTTGGCCGGTCACTGGATTGCCGCCACCGACCACCGTGCGCGGTGGTCGGAAAATCCAACTGTACCCAAAAATTGCAAACATACATCAATTTGTTTGTTATGATGAGAGGATCACTAATATGTGATCAATTTAACATGGGTTTTAACCGTTTGGTCAAAAACTGACCTAGAAGGATCAGTGGTCACAGCCTAGGATTTTTCGATTCCGGCTATATCAGTTGGCGGGAAGGCCACCAAATGAAAGAGGGAGAAGAGAGGAATCGATCGACACTTACCTTGAAGCCTCAAGTTGCTGAAAACGGTGTGAATGGCCGAAAAAGTTGCTGCGACGGTGCCGAACCATTTCAGTCAAGTTTTCTCTCGATTCGGGCTCAAATTGCGCAAACCAAGTCTTGAATCAAACTCCTTGCAACAAGTAGATGATTTTAGAGTATTTATTCGCCGAATTTGGTGGCTGGTAGCCAGAGAATGAAAAAAAAAGGGGGGAGGGGACAAGTTGTTGCTGACGGGGAGAGAGAAACGAGAAAAAGAGAGAGAGAAAAGAGTCTCTTTCTCTCTCTTTTTTCTTTTTTTTGTTTTTTTTTTTTGGTTTCTAGAATTTTCTCATTGGGTGATGGGGTTTGGGTCGATTTGAGTCTGGTTTGGATCAAATCACGGTTTTAGTTTGGTTTTTCAATCGATTTCTAGGTTTTTTAAAGGGTTTAGTTTAATTTAGGATTTGGTTTAGCAAATATAAAATATATTTGCGATATATTTGTTAAATATATGCACGATACATTAATTTTATTATTTTTTAATATAATAATGTCCTATAATATAATTGGTTAGAATTTATATTTAAATTTTTAAATGAAAAATTTTTTTGAAAAATAATTTTCCAGGTCGTTTCACTCAACCATAGATGGGTCTTTTTCCATACTTAAATAACTGTAAATTGAAATCACAGACTCCAGTCAAAAATCTAACACAATATATATGGATGACTAACACAATATATATGGATGAGTATATAATTCAATTTTTTTGACGTCGTATGTCGAAATTATTACTAAAAAATTACTCTTCAAATAGTGATGTCCCATGCACAGAACATGTGATTCCAGTGCTGGCAATAAAATTTTGTCTTCATATAATTGAGGGTAGCTAAGTACATACTACTAATTAATGAGATACTTGACATATAGTATCCCGTAGTAACATTAGCTAATAGAACACTGTTCCCAAGTGACATTGAATAGAGATCAGTCCCAAAACTAGCGTATATATTAACCAACTTAGCTAAATGGGTGGAAATTTTAATTACAATTCATTATATACCAAAAAGGGAATTTCCACCCTTTCTAGTAAGTTTGAGGCTTTAGCCACAAACATATTAAACATACCATATAATATATTGTCCATAATAATTAATAAGTACTAATACCTATTATCATAAAACATCACAAATTACTACATCACTATAGCTACCCCTCCAAGAATCGCCCAAACAACACCATGCGAGATGGCACCCCTCCGCCTACTGGACTCCATCATAGTAAACATCCACAAGCACCGTCTGTGCTCGAACACCAACCCTAAAATGTAGAATGTCACCCTCCTGGATGATCTTGCTGCACATTAAGTTTGAATAGCCTATGAAATAGCAAGTCCTTCCATGATGATATAGCTTGGCTGGATATGCAACACCCTCACATATAAATTTCACATTCCTCCTCCATCTCCACAGATAAGCCGGCTAAAATGCAGTGTCAATGGTCTACAAATAAAAATTAATTAAAAATCACAGCATAAAAGTAGCCAACATTAAAAGAACTGAACATTCATATAACTTTCTGAAAAGAAAAATTACCATGCTCTTGTTTTCTATCATCTTTGCTGTAACTGTCTTGTACATCTCAATCGGCACCAAGTCAGATGAGAAGTTGACTCCAGACTTTAGAGTCTTTGGAGAACCATCTGATGCAGATTTCAAACAAGAGGCGCGGGATGGACTCCCCTTCACAATTTTATTTGAAGTTTGGAAAAACCTCCTTGATGGAGGAATCCTCTTTGGTGTGGCATTGTGGGTGGCGATACACCTCTTTGTAGCAGTCCTCTTGATCGAACTAGGTGTGTCCACCAGTCTGTGAATAGGACCAGACTCTAGAGTGCAAATGTGGATTTGCCTTTGGAGACGGGGGGCTCAGAGATAGATGTGCCGAGCAGGTCAAAGATCACAGCCTTCATTCTATTGCTGCGTTGGTATTTCAGAGTGACTTTATATGCCGCCCGCACACGGAACGTTGAAAAAACCTCTGCCGTTCCATCAGACAATGCAAGCAATCATTGTTCATCGCTCCGATTGAGTATGTTGAAAGTATCTCTGCCCACAGATAAGTACACGTCGTTTGCAATTGATCGAAAGTATTTTCGAGAGAAGCTTGGTGTCAACTCCTGAGAGGGCGAGAATTTTTCATTAATAAAAAATGGAAATTTACATTGATTGATGAAAATGGTGATGCTAATTAACCATTAAACGCAATAAATAATACCAAACGACAATCACGAATGAAGTTCGGGGTAACAAACACCTTGCAGGTCCTCGCATTCATGTTTCCTAGTGACCAAACAATGGAAAAAAAAAACATGTTAAAAAAAAAGGCCTTGGACAACATATCTCAACCAATTAATAATTAAATAGAACTAAACAAGTCTAAATGTTGATTGTTCGATGAAATAGCTGGAAAATAAACATAGAATTTCAAATTCAAAGCCAGAACGATTAATATCATGTAGAATCAGGACTGTGAAACTTCTCCCCAACAAGCATCATTTTACAGAACCAGTTTCTTATTTAAGTGAATAATAACAAAAAAAATTATAATAAGTGTAGATCGGGGCTAACGAAATTAGATCCAAGCATTGTGTTACACATAAGTGCATATAGGAGAGTAAAATACAGCCAAACAATCATATAGTTAAATTGTTCGCAACAAAACATTCATAAGCAAAACACAGACATCCATACTACAAAATCAAACGTTACGGTACCTAGACATTCAAAAGGCAGTGGTTAACAAACAAGAGGAATTTCCATCGATGGGTCTTTACAGAGATAAAAAAAGCACGATGCTTAGATCTCGTCATTCGCTTGACCATGACTTGTGATAAAAAAAATATGTTCATGCTGAAGTGGATTAGAGTTCAGAACAAGACTCCCTTGAAGGATGGTTTCCCAAATCTAAGCGATTGGAAGTGAAAAGGATGCGCAGAACAAAAAACAAACATATGTATAGATACAAAGACTATTGATTTTCAGTTCTAGAACATGAATAATAGAATCGGATCTGGAAATTTTACTTGACACAGGCAGCGGAGAAGCACACACTAATTTTAGGTTCGGACACTAACAACTAAACCAAGGACACGGACGGCACTATGCGCTCCATTGACAATGCTGCACCCTTTTATATGCGAGGCCCAACCATGATAGAAAAAGTTGAAAAATAAATTGTGAAATACCAAGTTCCCCTCTGACTTTTACCATTTGATAGGCAAAGAGCAGGAGATATAATCGTCATTACATTCCCCATTGCTCACTTGGCGGCCATAGAATTTGTTCACCATACACTACATGATGTATGCATGATACATAGACGTTTTTAACTTTGTTTATGTTTTTTTTTTTTTTTTTTTTTATTGAAGGCAAAGGAGCAGAGATATAATTCGTCTCATTACATTCCCCATTGCTCACTTGCGGCCAAGAAAGTTTGTTACCATTACACTAGCATGATGAATGCATGAATACATAGACGTTTTTAACTTTGTTATGTTTTTTTTTTTTTTTTTTTTTGGAATGTTGAAGCTAAATGTTAAATGTTTGAATTATTGAACACAATTTTTTTTTTTTTTTTTTTTTTTGGAATTGTTAAGCTAAATGTTAATATGTTGTAATTATTGAACACAATTTTGTAATTAAATGAAATTAAGATATTATAATTGAAATTATATTAATTCACACTTAATTAATTCAAATTTGTAATTAAATTAAATTAAGATACTCTAATTGAAATTGAGTTAAGGCATACTTAAGTAAGTAAAAATGTCCCACTTTGAATTAAACTAAATTAAGACGCCTTAACTGGATTAAGTCACGCTTAATTAAGTCTACCTGGATTTAAATGAAATTAAGACACCTTAATTAAAATTAAATTAAGTCATATTTAGTCACTTTTGAAATTAAATTAAATTAAGACACTCTAATTGAAAATTAAATTAAGTCACTCTTGATTATTTCATACTTAGAATTAAATGAAATTAATATATCACAATTGAAATTAAATTAAGCCATATTTCATTAAGTCACATGATATACATGGAATTAAATTAAATTAAAAATCTCAAATTGGAATTAAATTAAATCACATATAATTAAATTGCACTTGTAACTAAATAAAATTAAGTTGCTCTAATTGGAATTAACTTAAAACACATTTGATTAAGTCGCACTTGAATATAGATAGGGCAGTACATTTAAATTTAATTTACTACTGTAGCGGGTCATATAAATTTGAAATGGATATTAACAATTACATATTGCTAGATTAATACATATTAATGAGTGGGCTCAATAATCATAATGCAGACGGATCGTGAAGTTCGGAATACCGAATCATATTACTTAATGGTAACATGAAGTACTAAAAACATTAAGTTATCGTGGCGATCACCAAATTAGTCCGATTGAGAATCAATTTTATTTTTCAATTAGATTTTCTTGGAATCATAACATTCAACTGTCATGGATGCATGATCTAAGTGATTTGTAAATTAGTTTGTCAAGATTATATGTACTATTATTTTTATGGAATCGCAATATTATATTTTTATTATGAACAAGCCATATAATTATTTATATATACCTCAATGGATATTGATTTAGGTTAGTATTATTTAGTATAATTTAATTTTGTAAACCTTATTACATTAGTTATGTAACATTTACTTCTTCTGTGTGAAGTTTGCAAGAAATGTACTAATGCTATTGCTTTACAACGTTTAAATATATGTCATGGCTATGATACTGAAACGATTCAAACATGTGTAGTATAAGGTTCCGTTTCCACAAGAAGGATCCATTTCCTGCATACAATAAAATGACATGTCCATATTATGTTTTCAAGGTTAAAAATTAGCGAGAAATATTTGCAAATTTTTGGCGCTGAAGACTTCCCCAATAGATAGACGGTTTTCCTCAAGGAATATGCTTACAATCTTAAAATGAGAGTTAATTTGCGAGATTTAGAAGCAACGGTGCAGAAGCATGACAAGAACTTCATAGATTACGTGGCTAGATGGAGAACTAAGGTCACACAAATGAGGAACTGTTCAGATACCAAGGAGCAGATCAAGATATTCATCAAGGGGATT